ATGCCAGCCAGCCCCGCCCCCTGGTGGGCTGAGCTGGACACACACACACACACACACACACACACACACACAAAATTTAAAAAAAAGGAAAAAAAATTTAAAAAAAAGATTTACTATAAATATCTGAGTATTACAAGGTTTTTTTTTTTTTGACAAGGTCTCACTAGGTATTGCTATGCAGTTCAGGCTGGCTTTCAGCTGACTTTGTAGCTCAGGTTTGTCTCATACTTGCAACAATCCTCTTGCCTCAGCTTCCTGAATGCTGGAATACAGGTGTGTACCACCATACTCAGCTTTGCTCTAATATTATTATTAATATTATTATTGTTATTTATTTTTGTGGCTGGCTCAGCCTGCCCTGGGGGCAGGCCTTGGCATGGCATGTGGTGCTGGGGGATTGAACCATGATCCCTGCGCTTTGCCTAAGCTTGCCTAAGCAGGTGCTTTAGACCTCTGAGCTATCTTGCCGGCCCCATGCTCTATGATTTTTTTTTTTTTTTTTTTTGGCGGAACCGGGGATTGAACTCAGGCTCTTGTGCTTGCCAGGGAAGCACTTATTCCACTGAGCCATCTTCCCATCTCTATGATTTTTGACAAGAGGGCAAAAACATTCATTGGGGGAAAAGAGGGCCTTCAACAAATGGTGCTGGAAAAAGTGGAAGGCTACATGCAAAAGAAAGAATTTGGGTCTTTGCATCACATCACATAACTTAAAATGGATCAAAGACCTAAATATGAGAAGTACGATTAGTATGGTAATCTTAGAAGAAGAAAGCTTAGGGGAAAAGCTAATAACTTTGTAATTGACAGTGATTTTTTGGATATGATTATCAAAGGCATAGGCAACAAGAGGAAAAAAAAAAACATGGACAAATTGCGCTTAGTGAAAATTTAAAAAAATTGTGCATCAGAAGTTATACTATCGGGGCCGGGGAGATGGCTCAGTGGAATAAGCGCTTCCCTGGCAAGCTCAAGGGCCTGAGTTCAATCCTCGGTTCTGCAAAAAAAAAAAAAAAAAAAAAAGATGTTACACTATCACCAGAGTAAGAAGGGAACTCAAAATGGAAGGAAATATTGGCAAATTATAGATATGATGAAGGGTTAATATCTAGCACATTGGGAATCCTTCTAAAACTCAACAGTTCAGAAACCTAAAGACTTGAATATACATTTCTCCAAAGAAGAAATAGAAAGGGCTAACAAATGTGAAAAAAATTCAACATTGCTCAACATTAATGTAATGCAAACCAAAGTCACAAGGACACACAGCTTTATAACCATTAGGATGGCTACTAAGGTGTTTATGAAGATATGGAGAACGCTTGTGCATAGACACAGCTGTTATGGATGTTTATCAGAAATTACAAATAGAGCTCTTACGTGATCCAGCAGTTCTGCTTCTGGGGAAATAGCCAAAGCTTTGGAAATAGAAAAGCGGAGATATTTATACACCACTGTTTATAGCAGCATTATTCAAAATAATGAAAAGTTAGAAGCCACCAAAGTAGCCAGTGATGGTGGTCAGATTGTGGTGGATTGCCCACTGATGGTCAACTTGTTATACCCATCTGAACTGAATTAGCAAGTTGCTGGGTGTGGGAGACCCACTTGAGTGAGGTTGGTTGCCAGCAGCATAAGAGGCTGAGCTAGAGAAGAGCTGATAGAGGCTGTTAGGGAAGCTGTTTGGAGAAGCTGTTGGAGCAGCTGTTGGAAGCTGCTGGTTCTCTTGGGCTATTCTGCTGGGTGACCTTGTCATATTGGCTTTCCTGATGACCTTGGCCGTTCTTGTTGCTGGAGGAGCTTGAGACCTCATTGTTGCTGAGGATGGCTATGGTTCATTTTGGGGGAGCTCTGGTCCTCACTTTGAACATCACTTTCTGGCTCTGGAGGAGAAGATGGTGCACAACTCAGCCTTCTGCAGAAGCTTGTCATACTGGCTTTCCTGTTGGGGACTCAGCTTTCCTCATTGCTGGAGGAGGTTGGCATCTAACTGTTGCTGAGGATGGCTGTGGTGCTTCTTGGAGGAGCTGTGGTTCTTAGCTTGAGTGTTGCTTCCTGACTCCATTTCAGATCCCTCAGCCTGCTAGCACAGAACCTTCATCCAGCTGGCATAGATTTTCTAGCTTCCCTCACTGACCTTGGGACCTTCCCAGTTCAGATCTGTGAAACAAGCCTTCATGAGACATTGTCGTGGACTCTAGGCTTCCAGTAGGATTTGTGGGAAGCATTGTTATGGGCTCTGTTTTCAGCTGTACTCATGCAGGATACTAAGATCCAGGCCCTCAGCTGGATTCTTTGGTCTTTAGCATGTAGACAGATTTCCTGTACTCTTTGTACATGATTCTTTGGGTGACTCATTATAAAACAATCTTATGTGTCCTGTATTTCTTTTTGCCAAAACCCCAAGCCATGACAGAGATAAAAGAAAGGAAATTCTGACACATGCTGCCCTGTGATGAACCTTGGTTCCATTATGCTAATTGAAGTGATCATCTTACAAAAGGAAAAATGCAGAATGATTCCATTTATGTGAGGTATTTAGAAAGTAGTCAAACTCAGAGACAGAAAAGTTGGATGGTAGTTGCCAAAGGTTGAGGGTAAAGAGTAAAGAGAAGCTGTTTAGTGGGTTTAAAGTTTGGTTTTGCAAGATAAAACCTATGGAAGGGTGGTCGTATTAGTTACAGAGTGTTATAAATGGTTAAAATGTACATGGATGTGGTTACAGTGTTAAATTTTGTGTCATATATT